AGTAGCTGGGATTACAGGCACACGCCACCATGCCCAGCTGATTTTTTGTAGTTTTAGTAGAGACGGGGTTTCACCGCGTTGACCAGGATGGTCTCGATCTCTTGACCTCGTGATCCACCCGCCTCGGCCTCCCAAAGTGCTGGGATTACAGGCGTGAGCCACTGTGCCCGGCCAGCCCCTTTTTAACTAGAGAATAACTGTAGAATTTCCACTCTTTATCTGAAGTATGGTTGTAAGAGCATCAACATATGAATGCCTAGCACATAGCAAGCATTCATGTGTTCTCTTCCTTCTCCCCACGTCCACATTTTTGCCATATCTCCCACAGATAGCCCATGATGAAGTAGAATTGGCTGATTCCAATGCTATATAGGGATAGTCTAGGGATTTAGAGTTAATGCTCACCAATGTGAAAAGCCTACTTCCATTTAAATTGATCCTGTTTTCCTAGGTCTAGCAAACCATAAGGTGTATCACATACCAAATTTTTAACCCTGTTAAAGCAGTAGCTGCAAAGGTCAACTTGAGAGAGGGGACTTTTACATATACTTTATATACCTATGTGGTGTGAACATTTAAAAATAATAAACATTTAAAAATTAAATTAGAAAAGAATCGCTGTTTTATACACAAAGTTAATTAGGGAAGAGTGAGGATTTCAAAGATTAAGCCTTTGAAGGAGAAATTTTCTCCTTCCTTAACCCTCTGAGAATGACAGATATGGTGGGGGAAAACAGCAAGAGGGGAGAACCTTCTGTTGGGTATTTTCCAGCTAGTCATTTCATCGCTTTGATTTTTTTTATTCTCATGATAGATTTTAGCATTCTCATCAAAGAAAATCTCCAAAGATTATTTAAGATCTGTAGTTCCTTTTTAAAGGGAATTATCAGTTATGACTCATTTTATTGATGTACAACACTGCCAAGTGGGCCTGCAGTAAGATCTCTAGTTTAATCTATCACAGGTAACTGTTGGTTGTCTGCTGGTACCTTTCTATGCATGCCAACAGTCAACTGTTATATAATCTAATGACATAATCTTTGATACAGGTAATAGAGATGTGGTAATGCCTTGCCTATAACTACACAAGGGTAGAAAAATAACCAGTGCGGTAGAGATAATGCCAGCAGGGCAAGTGAGTACAGACAGACGCTGGGTAATTATACCTCACAGAGGAAAAACCGAAGTGAAAAGGCCCTAAGAAGTAGAGTAGCAAAAGGTCAGCACATTCTTGCTCTGCACAAACTTACTAGGAAGCAAGCACAGGATGCACCCAGATGTTTCACTCAACTTCAAAGTTTCTGGCAAGTGCTCAGAAAAGTTGGAGGACCATGTACAAGGAAGAATTCTGCAAATACTGCACTGTGGTATCCTTGCAAAAAGACACCTGAACACAAGTATGGGCCTATTTTTGGGATAAACTTTACTGGAAAGGTTAAACAAATCATAAAAATGTTTTTGATGTTTTCCAAGTTTTATATAAAATTATCAATATTGACTTTTGCCAAATGTATATCTAGATTTGTGTAAGGAAATTAGGGACTTATTTCAAGGATGAGATGACAGAATTTAAGAAGGGAAGGCACATTAATCATACTCTCACCACATTTTCTCAATCACACAGACCTGGAAACATTAGGGGATTCCTGGAGTCAGTTCCATCAGATACCATTAGAGCTGGGACTACAATACAAATCTTTGGGTTCTTGTCCCATCTGTTTTCCACAGAGTCTAAAGATTGACAACAATCTTCATAAAATTGCACCACTCAATTTTTTTTTTTTTTTAGTTTTATGGAATATAAATAGTCTTTTAAAACTGGTATTTTAAAATAAATTTATAAGAGGTATCTGCTTGCCATTCCGCAGCCTGCTGGCCTGCAGCCACACGCTCATCACCTGGACAGATTGTCTTAAGTAGTCTGTCTAATGCCTGGGTTCCAAAGTAGACTTTCCCCTCTCCCAATTCCAGACTGCTTACCAGGTCCTAGATTCCCAGGTCTCCTGGGTCTGGCCTACTTGAGTGGTATGTTTAACCAGCAGTCATAGATTTCTACCAGCATTTCTAGTATTTTTGCCTTGTTACTTAATCTGCTGTTGCCCATTGTCTGAGCACAAACATCTAAAAACCACCCTGTTCTTTCCAAGGGTGTTGGAAGACAGACTTCTGAAGCACTGAGTGAGAAATTGGGACAAGACTCAAGATATCTTCCCCCTCCCTCTTTGGAGATGTTGAGCTAGAATGAAGATGCCTAATGGCTAATTCACTCAATCACATAAATGTCTCATCTACAAATAAAAGCGAAATACACGTTTCTTAGGTTTTTTTTTTTGCATATATTTACATTATAAATACTAATGTTTCCAAAGTACATATTCTTTTAACAATCTGAGAAAATTATCTAACATAGGACAGCAATTTAATGTAAAGACTCTATAGTAGTGATTAAGGAAAAATAGAACTGTTTTGGGGATAAGGAATCCTGGCTATGAATGGGCATGATGATCTGAACTTGCAAAGGGAATGTGAAGCAGCTTAATCCACATTGCACTGCTAATACAGTATGTTAAAGGGCTACTATGTGATATAGCAACCTGGATATGGTTTTATAAAAACTAAACTTGAGAGATATAAAAAGTACACATGCTTGCATAGTGCGTTAATTTTAAAGAAGCTCAATATTTCATTCTCATGTTCAATAACTTAAATGAACAGCACTTAAAACACATCACACAAAATTAAAGACTTGTGCATATATTTCAGATTTCAACATTAATGTCAAAAATACATAGTATGATTTTACACAGGATTTGTGCTACATCAGAACACTAGAGACAAACATCACTTGAGTATTAAGGAAAACATTAAATATTAAATAACTGAGAAATAAAATGTGTAAACACTAATCTAACTGGGGATTTTGCTATTGCAACACGTCCAATGAAGTGGTTTCGACAGTACAAAAAGGATTAGGACATAAGTTTTTCCAGTCTACATGGAAAATATGGATTTCATTTCAGGAATCCTTTCATAAAAACTGGTCCAGGATAACAGGAGAGGACCTACTCTCCTGATTGTTAATTTGGTACACTCCATTCTATGCTAATTTTTACTTGCAAACTTGGGTACTGAGTAAATACTTTATATCGTCACTCCTTATCAACATCTTGGTGAAAACTGAGGGTTTGTTGGCGATTCAGTGTAAGATTTGAGTTCATATGCAGCACCGCTATCAACCTCCATTGACTTTCTAGAGAACAGGAGCCGTACATCTCTATGGAGGTAGATCTTTCCAGATTTAGAACTCTGGAACCTAAACAAATAAACAAAAAGATAAAACATTTCAGAGAATGAGTATTTAAAACAAACTAGAATAATTAAAATTTGAAGCAGGAAGAACTAATCTTGCTACAGTATTAGGTCAACACTAACTCTAACACATGATATTTAAGACCTTTGTAAAGACCAAAGCATATGCTTTTATTTAAATGTTGCTCTCCTACCATTCCCCAAATACCTCATATTCCTTTTTCTTCTTACAATGCCTGAGATGCTTCTTCCTATAAAATGAGTGTCAAAAACAATCTTACTTTTCCTCCCAGACTCCACAGTACATGCACCTTTCCTTGTCTGCAGGTTCACGAGGCAGTTCACATTACTCAGTAATATTACATTTGGGCTCTGTAGCCCTAGCATTTTCTGCCTACATAGACTGACCCATTTCACACAAATGGGGTAGATGATGATAAAATGCTATAATAAACAGTGGCTAGGCTAAGTAAAACCCAGCCACCATCAAAGTCAAGAGAAAAGTTAGCAGTAACATGAAAATGGCTATCAAAACTATGTATGAAACTGTTTCTATCCACTGCTAATATCTGTAATACAGTACAGGGATTTGGAGTCTTCAGTCACATTAACTTACCTACCAAACAGATGAATGTATCCTGTAGTGCTAATTTCTCTGTTTTTCCCTCTTTGGGTTTGTGGATTTTACTCCTGAGCTAGCTGAAAGATCTGGTGGTTACAGTTCTATATGTTAAAGCAGACTGGCTCTGACTGGCTCACTCTTCCTTCCTCTCTGAAGTTTTCCACCTTCCCAATCTGAAGGAGAAGATTCTTTGGGAAGTATACCAATTCCACACAGAAGTTTCTTTAAAGTGTCCTGACCTTATGTGGGGATTATAAAAGCTAAGGTGGCTGATTTTTACTCTGGCCAGTATTGGTTACAAATAGCTATGGTTGTTAAACTTCAAGAAGAATGGTGTCAAATGCAAGTTTAACCAGAGAGGGTTGAATCTTCTAGGCTGGGAGGTATTCTTATAGTCTGCTATTTCATACCATGTTATTTATTTATTCATTCATTCATTTGTTCATTCATTTATTTTTGAGACAGGGTCATGCTCCCTTGCCCAGGCTGGAGTGCAGTAGCGCGATCTTGGCTCCCTACAACTTCTGCCTCCCAGGTTCAAGCAATTCTCCTGCCTTGACCTCCCGAGGAGCTGGGATTACAAGTGCTTACCATCATGCTCAGCTAATTTTTGTATTTTTAGTGGAGACGGGTTTCACCAAGTTGGTCAGGCTTGTCCTGAACTCCTGACTTCAGGTGATCCGTCCACCTCAGCCTGCCTAAGTGCTGGAATTATTGGTGTGAGCCACTGTGCCTGGATATACCATGTCTTTTAAAAAAAGTTTTCCAATTCTGTTTTTCATAGATTTTTCATTCCCACAATCTGTGTAACATTTCCCATAAGGCTTACATCAGGTTTGGTTTAAATAAATTGTGCTGGCTGAACATGTCTTTTGAATACAGAACAACAGGCAGAAGACCAAGATGAAAGAAGTAATTAAATAGTGCTTTGGGGGAGAATAATTAACAGACTTTCAGGCATGGAATTTGAGCATACAGCTCACTGCTTATTCACTCCAGATCACCACTGCAAGGCATATATAAATAAAGATAGCAAGTGGTCACCATCAGCAATAAGAGATTAAAGAAGTCTTCTGCCTGAACCCAAGATGAAAGGTGATTCCTCCTGATGAATAACACTCCGTATTATAAGGAGTTAGACTAAGACAAATGTCACTGACGTGACTGAGGACTCTCTATGGAAGGGACCAGAAAATTATCAGAAACAGAGTTATAGGCAAAAGTCTACTGAGCCCTCTTTTAACCAATCACTTGCTCATTGATCCTGAGAGCTTAAACTAGGAGTTCAGGACTGAAAACATTGCCCTAGTATACTGACAACTTTGACCTCAAGAGCAAACAAGTGGCTTCTCACAACCTTAAACTATGAGTTGGGTAGTAAGAGTTAGCCAGAAAGATACTTATAATAGAAGGACTAGAGTATAAGCTCTATGAGAGCAGAGATTTTGTCACTGCTGTTTTGCTAGTGTCTAGAAGCATGCCTGGCCCACAAACATTAGTTGAAGAAATGAATAAAGTTTAAGAATTTCTCTTTCCAACACAGTAGCCATTAGCCAAATGTGGCTATGGAGCATTTGAAATGTAGCTAGTTCAAATAAGTATAAAGTACATACTTTATTTCAAGGAGTCAGTGATATAAAATATCTCATTGGTAATATTTATATCAATTACATATTCAAATGATAAAATTTGGATAGGCTGGGCTAAATGAAAATAAATAAAATATATTAATTTACCTACTTGCTACTTTTTAAATGTGGTATTGAAAAATACAGAATGATCTATATGGTTCATATTATTGTTTTTTGAGATGGAATCTCACTCTTGTTGCCCAGGCTGGAGTGCAACGGCACGATCTTGGCTCACTGCAACCTCCACCCCCCAGGTTCAAGCGATTCTCCTGCCTTAGCCTCCTGAGTGGCTAGGATTACAGGTGCCCACCACCATGCCCAGCTAATTTGTGTATTTTTTTTTTTTTTTTGAGACGGAGTCTCACTCATGTTACCCAGGCTGGAGTGCAATGGCGCGATCTCGGCTCACCGCAACCTCTGCCTCCTGGGTTCAGGCAATTCTCCTGCCTCAGCCTCCTGAGTAGCTGGGATTACAGGCACACACCACCATGCCCAGCTAATTTTTTGTATTTTTGGTAGAGACGGGGTTTCACCATATTGACCAGGATGGTCTCGATCTCTTGACCTCGTGATCCACCCGCCTCGGCCTCCTAAAGTGCTGGGATTACAGGCTTGAGCCACCGCGCCCGGCCTAATTTGTGTATTTTTAGTAGAGGCAGGGTTCACCATGTTGGCCAGGCTGGTCTAAAACTCCTGACCTCAGGTGATCCGCCCACCTCGGCCTCCCAAAGTGCTGGGATCAGAGAAGTGAGCCACGGCACTCGGTCCTCATATTACATTTTAAAACAGCATTTGTTTTGGCATAAAATATTTTACATTAAACAGCTATAAATGAAAACCTTCCTAATTCAACAAGTAATAATAACGACAGGAAGGTATGCCATGTACTTCCTGCATCTTGGCACATCATCAAGAGTTCCCAAGCTAAGCAAAGTCCCAAGGGACACTGGTCTAGTTAAAGTCACAGTTAACAACAAAAACAAAAAACAACTAAAAATTTTAGAGTTGTTCTAAAGTAACATTTCCATATTAATTTGAAGCATTACCTCAGATGTATGAGGTAGCGTAATAACCGTTCTTCTGTGTGTCGGATGTTCTCCTTATTAACACTTCTCTTCATTTCTTGTTTAACAGGTACAGAAAAAGTTCTTTGTCGTAGGAATGTCTGATGATTGGCTGGCATATCTCGTAAATCATATATCACAACAAACATCTTCACCACAGTCTTATTAGGATTAAATAAGGTCTGAAGAAACAATGTAGAAATTATTCTTTAAAAATAATGATTCTTTGATGTGACTCAGAATGATTGTGCCAATAATCAAATAAGATTTTAAACAACAAGGTAATACCACTGAATATAATTCAGTTTCAGGGACTATAATTAACATAATTTCAAAAGTTTATTAAAATAATATTCATATTTTTTAAAGGTTCAATTTGAATTTTTGTTTACAATAAATAAAGCCCTGTAACAAATCAAAATCTTTAGTCACAAATTCCATATATATAAATATTACTCCTTGTTCAGAGGAGTAACTTTAAGGTATAATTCCACTAGCTTAAGCAAAATACATCTTTATTGGGTTAAAATATTCCAGTTCAATTATTTTAAACACATTAGCTTTGCTAAAGAGTAGCAACTTCAAACTTCTCGAAATAGAGTTTTAATTTTTTCTCACATTTTAATAGCCAACAAATAGAATATTTCAAATAAAAATACAAGCTCAGTAAATTAGCATGTTTGATGTCTTAGGTACACATGATTATTATACAATTTAAAATAGGTGCTCAAAGAAGAGACTTTTTCCTTTCTGGACATTTCCCCAAGTTTACAAAACAAAGCTCAGTATTAACTAGATCTAAAGTGAGCTAATACTTCATTTACTCATACACAGAATCATTTCAAAATTTGCAGCAACACTAGGCTTTTTAAAAAAAATCCTCAGTATCATTATAGATCAAAATATGTATCCATGGTGAAGACTGAATTAAGTTCAATTGTTGCTTGGTTATGAATAATTGAAGGACTATTATTTTTAAAGTATTAATTTTTAAACAAAACCCCAAGGTGCTGATCTGACTTTAACCAAATTACCAACACATCAATAGGTAACTTGGTGCCCATGCTTTCAGAAGCTCATCCGTGGCACTGGACATCATTCACTGAATCAAAATGAGAAATATATCAATATCATAATCCAATTTTTGAAATCTAGTGAGTCTTAAGATTAAGGCGAATACATTCAACAACCACAACTCATAAGCCAGGAGTTCATTTTTATTCACAGTTAAACTGTATATGGAATAGAAGACATACCCAAATTTCATACTTATAAGTAAGTTGGCAGTCTCCAAACAAGAGGTGAATGGGTTACCTCTGGGTTTATGCCTCATTATTATGTCAACTGACAGCTAGCTTTCCACTGACCCACACTTTCTCATGAGCTATACAGCCGAAGGCAAGAGATCACTGTCACTCCTTTAGTTCTAGAAATCAGTTTGATATAAAATACTTGTGGTATTCTTGTGGTAATTCTTCCTTAGCAAAAATTATATAAATATGAATTACTATATATATGTATATATCAACACACATATACACATATATTGCATAGTTTTGTTTCATTCCCATGTGATATGAAACAAATATACAGACTCTTTGCAGTATTGGAACAAGGATGATGAGTAAAAGTGATCTGACAAAGTACTGAACACACTGAGGTCAAAGGTCATAAAAAGGCTTGTTGGATTAGACCAAATCTTGAGTATGAGGAGCAAGCCTAGGCTAGATTCTCAGCCTGCAAACTCTGTAACAGATTTGAGGGCTTGCAGAATTATGCTGGGTGAGACCTAGAGTGAATTCAATTTCAAGCTGGCCTTCATATCAAATTATTCTTCTGAGAGCCCTGGCCCAGGGATGATAAAGGACTGTTCTGGGAGAGAAGGACTCTCTTGAGCCAAAAGGACATCAATGCCTAGACCAAAAGGAATGATGCCTTCTCTGCCCTGGTATCTGTCAGACTACATTTCTCCTTTGTGTGGTCATCTCATTAAATAATTTTAGAAATGATTACAGTAGAGATAAAATAATTTTGTTTCCAAGTTTTCCTGCCAAAGCAATACTAATATTTGGGGTCTCCTTTTAAATAGGTTCATCTCAATCTGGTTTATTAAAAAGAAGGCACCAGTAATATTAGGTTCTAAATACACTGAAAAGAGCCCTATTGAAGTTATGCAAGCTGTCATATGCTATTTTTCTTAAGTATTCACCTTGATTAGCTTATTAATGCTTTCCTTCTATGGAGGTCCCCAAATGGTCATTCCTGGGGCAGAGCAGGGAAACTCCAAACAAAGCTGCAGCCCCACTGTTACTTACCAAAGTTGTTGCAGCAGCAGTAGCAGGAGAAAGGGCTAAGTTCTATATGTATGTGAGAGAATGATTATTGCAATTGTAGACTATAAAACACATACCACTTGTATTGTTCCTGAAGGAGGTACTCGATAACCCCTTTTACCAAGGGACTCTAAAGTTATCACACCCTTGAAATAAAAGAAGACAAATTGAGTACAAACTGATACATATGTACATAAAAGACTAAAATAAGAATAACTCATGTAATTTACTAAAATTTCAGAATTTTATTTCTATGGAAAAACATTAGAATTGAATTAAGAGAAACATATTCTATGTTTCTACCCTTAAAGAAACACTTTACTGTTCTTCCTGGTGATGTTGCTATAAAGAATATATAACATAAATAGCCACAACAATTGAAATTATTATTAAGATACAGGAATAAAAGTCAGAAGTTCCTAACTACAAAGGAAATAAAGCAAGGTAATAGGACACTTTCCATGTATCTTGAGGGAGAAGAGAAATGAAGAAGCAAATATTTTACGGGTCTTTGGGCCTGTAAAAACTCACAGGTGTAGGAAAATAAGTCTTGGCCAAAAATAAAGTCAATTCTTCAGTCTGGGAGTTAAATTACATACCTGGATTTCTGAATAAAGACAGAAAAAAAATAGAAAAGGAATTTGGAAGTCTGTAGTTCCTGCCTGGTACTACTTTATGGGATAAGAGATGTTTTAAGACAAAAAGTGAAAAATGAAGGTTAAATCAGCAACTTTCAGGCTGTGAAACGTTCTGTAGTAAAGCTATAAAATCTCACTTTTATAAAGTTAAATATTTCTTCAGAAACAACCTTATATCATGTATCTTAATCCAGATATTAAGATATTTTGCTTTTGTTTGGTCATTTACTTATTAAGGAATCTCAGAATCAATATTGATTCTGAATCAGAACACAATGGATTGAGGGCTGATTTGAGTCAAGGTTAAAGCTAAATTAAGGTCATTTCATTAAAGATGTCTAAAGGAGGATATTAGGAGTCCTCCAGTTAGTCTGCTGCTCAAGGAATGATCCTTAGATGAGCATCATCAGCACCACTTATGAACTCCTTAGAAATGAGAAATGTCTTGCTTCTTCCCAGACCTACCAAGTCAAATATACATTTTAAAAAGATTCTCCACATGATATCAATTTACATTAAAGTTCGGCAATCACTTCTCTAGTACATGAAGTAGTTTTTCTCATTATGCTCTCATTACTGCAAAAATCCAGACAATAGGGAAAAAGCGTCTAAGTTAAAACAAGGTAAGTTCAAACTGAATGTGCAACAGTTTCTCAATAACCAAGATGACCAGATAGCTAAAGGTAGTAATTGTTGAGATGGAGTCTCATTCTGTCGTCCAAGCTGGAGTGCAGCGGTGCAATCTCGGCTCACTGCAACCTCTGGCTTCCAGGTTTAAGCAATTATTCTGTCTCAGCCCCCCCCAAGTAGCTGGGACTACAGGCGTGCACAACCACGCCCAGCTAATGTTTGTATTTTTGGTAGAGATGGAGTTTCGCCATGTTGGCCAGGCTGGTCTCAAACTACTGACCTCAGGTCATCTACCTGCCTTGGCCTCCCAAACTGCTGGGATTACAGGTGTGAGCCACCGTGCCCAGTCTGTGGTACTTAATTCTTAAACAGCTTTAAAAAATGAATGCTGATTCATTTATTTTAACTGGGCTAATACTTATCTTTCAAGTAGTTACAGTAGTTAAGGAGAACAGTATGTTTTACATTTCAAGATTCCATTATTATACATTATACATGCCAAGCTTGTGTAAAACCAAATATAAAACAGGACTGTTCTCTCAGGTGACATCTCTCTGTTGGGTTTGGAAGTTGGACCACGGTTAGGAAATAAAAAGGAGTGGATAAAGGCAAAAGGGAAAGCCACATTCTGACATATGAATTCCTCAACTTCAAGCGAACAACACTTGACAGTGGCTTATTAAATTAACACATTAAGGTTGGGAAATGTTCATGGAAATAGGCACTGAAAAGACATATGTGGTTCTCATGAGAAATCAGATTTGTCACATGGTTATTTAAAACATGAAAAAAGCACATCAACAAACTGCAATCTTAACCAAAACAACAACAAAACTTTAACGATTTATCTCTTACAACCTGCTCTACATGCCTAATGGAGTACTCTGCATACCACGCTTCATGAGCAGAGTGTGGCTATTTAGCCTACATGAAAAAGGTATGGTATATTATACCTGTCTTCCTCCTAGTTTCAGAAAGAAAAAGTAAAATATACCTAAATAATAGCTCTCTTTAAAATCACGTAACTACATGTAATAAATCACGTTCTTCCTTGCCAGCCATCTGCCTCCCCACCAAACACATACAGTAAAGCTGGTAAGACAACTACTAAGTTTATACTTGTTTCCTTTAATACATTCAATTACAATAGTTTTTAGAACACAATAACAGTAAGTAAACCAATTTATTTAAAAAAGTAGCTTTTTGAAAATAAAAATTTAAGGCAACAATTTAAAACAATTTCTAAGCAATGTTAGGACTAGGAGCATTGGCAAGTTAGGAATTTTAGAAAGGGACGGGGAAATTATTTGGAATTTTATTATTCATCATTATTGTAATAATTTAATCATTTTAATTGATCAGCATATTAATATTTATACCTACAAAAAGTTACCATATTTAACACAAAAAACACATTTTCTTCTGGCATTTGTATTTTTTTTTTTTTTTGAGATGAAGCCTTGCTCTGTCGTACAGACTAGAGTGCAGCAGCACGATCTCAGCTCAGTGTAGCCTCTGCCTCCTGGGTTCAAGCAATTCTCATGCCTCAGCCTCCTGAGTAGCTGGGATTACAGGCACCCACCACCACGCCCAGCTAATTTTTCTACTTTTAGTAGAGATGAGGTTTCACCATGTTGGCCAGGTTGGTCTCAAACTCCTGACCTCAAGTGATCCGCCCACCTCGGCCTCCCAAAGTGCTGGGATTACAGGCATGAGCCACTGCGCCCGGCCTTTCTTCTGGGATTTTAAAATGGAATAGTAGGGTTAAAATAAATATGGTCAAAATCTTATATAAAAACTCCTCAAATTATTATGTAACAAACAATATGCAAAAAGAAGTGAAAAACTGAAATATGTCTTGATCTGGTTAATTACAAATGAAAGGAAATCGTACATGGCTCTGATAATATTATAATGCAAGTCATACTATAAATTTGCTACTGGCACAACTGCCTTAGACATTTCTGCCTGGTTTCACAGTGCAACAGTTTCTAAACAGTTAAGTGTTGTCATATAACACGTGGAGAACATTTTTACCACTGACTCCAACTGGAGAATGGCATTATATAGCTTTGAGTTAATCTTTAAGAAATTATTTAATGGGAAGTCCTATGTCACCTCTATACCATAAAGATAGGATTTTCTGTGCTATAATTTTCCCCTTGTGAGTCATTTGTATAATCTGTGATAAGAGGTCCCCAAATTACTATTACAGTAATGAGGTTATTATAAAAGTGACAAATGGGAGTTTTGTGTCTTCCCCCTGCTGGCCTGTGGTATGTATAATCTTATCAAAACATAATCAGTTGTTTGAAAACAGACTCAACTATAAAAATATAGAGACTATTCCCTGAGGAACAAAATTAATTCAAAGCAGGAAAGATCTGTGGTCTAAGATTGGGACTGGGTCAGTTGCAAAAAGAATGCATTCCTAAGTAAACTTTTTATAGAAAAATATAGACTATTTTGCAAAAAGAATGCATTCCTAAGTAAACTTTTTATAGAAAAATATAGACTATTTTTCTAAGTTTTCTATGAAAACAGTATTTTCGTAGGAAAAACATAAAAGGGATAGTTTGTTGAAGAATGTTATCAGAGAAATGAAAGTCAGAGATTCTCAAAAGTATAGATTAAACTCAGTAACCTAATTTATACCCTTGCCAGTATCTATTCAACAATATGCGATCATCTGTGTGTATGTCCCTAGTACTTTTTGGAGTGACGAAATCTTTTATCTCCCAATCCTTCATTTTTTAGGTATCAACTAAGGTGAAAGATTAATGTTGTTTTGCTTTTTTTTTTTTTTTTGAGACGGAGTTTCGCTCTTGTTAACCAGGCTAGAGTGCAATGGCGCGATCTCGGCTCACCGCAACCTCTGTCTCCCGGGTTCAGGCAATTCTCCTGCCTCAGCCTCCTGAGTAGCTGGGATTACAGGCACGCGCCACCATGCCCAGCTAATTTTTTGTATTTTTAGTAGAGACGGGGTTTCACCATGTTGACCAGGATGGTCTCGATCTCTTGACCTCGTGATCCACCCACCTCGGCCTCCCAAAGTGCTGGGATTACAGGCTTGAGCCACCGCGCCCGGTGCTTTTTTTGTTTTTTTTTTTTGAGACAGGGTCTCGCTCTGTCGCCAGGCTGGAGTGCAGTGGCACGATCTCAGCTCACTGCAACCTCCACCTCCCAGGTTCAAGCAATTCTCCTGCCTCAGCCTCCCGAGTAGCTGGGACTACAGGTGCACGTCACCACGCCCAGCTAATTTTTGTATTTTTAGTAGAGACGAGGTTTCACCATGTTGGCCAGGATGGTCTCAATCTCTTCACCTCGTGATCCGCCCACCTCGGCCTCCCAGACTGCTGGGATTACAGGTGTGAGCCACCGCGCCTGGCCTTGTTTTGCTTTTTAAAAGTATAGTTCAAATTACCGCTTGCTCATTAATTTCCATCAAAGGTATTTATATGAGCGAATTTTCGGCCAGTTTACCCCTTTCATCTTGTTTCCAAGCCAACCTAATGGCCAACAGGGACTCTGTTCACTAATGACAGATCACAGTATTTTATTTTATTTATTTATGTTGAAACGGAGTTTCACTCTTGTTGCCAAGGCTGGAGTGCAATGGCGTGATCTCATCTCACTGCAACCACCATCTCCCAGGTTCAAGCGATTCTCCTGCCTCAGCCTCCTGAGTAGCTGGGATTGCAGGTGTGTGCCATCATACCCGGGTAATTTTTTGTATTATTAGTAAAGATGGGGTTTCACCACGTTGGCCAGGATGGTTTTGAACTCCTGGCCTCAGGTGATCCACCCGCCTCAGCCTCCCAAAGTGCTGGGATTACAGGTGTGATTGAGCCACTGCACCCAGCCAGTTCACAGTTTAGACCTTATCTTTCCATTCTCTATTATTGTGTGCCAATAAAAGGTGTGAAACTGATGAGATTCTTGATGTCCTGGTAAGGCAAAACAGGCTGTTGCTATATTCTCATATTGCAAGCATTTGAGGATGATATGCATTTATTCTTGTATTAAAATTATCTCAGTGGTAGTTTCCATTTTATTAATTGTTCAAAATTAGCAGTTATTTTTTCAAAATAACTCTGGAAAAGCGGGTACATCTTTATGGTCAATGAACAGACAGCATATGTAATAACTGGGCAGGTTTGTGAAGTGGGGGGCCTCTGCTTTTGATAATAACCTATGCTGGACATCTTCATACTTATGACCCACAGATGTGAATGTTGTTTGGAAAAGAAAACTTTGAATAAATGAGCAGACACCACTATGCTTTTTCTATCAAAACGTGAAACACTGATCAAGGTCTTGACTAAAAGCTTTACTCTTAGAATGGAGTAAACCTTCCTTGAGCAAACTGGGCCAATAATGAGTAGGCCATATAGAGGTTCCTAACAAGTAGCTTCCTTTCATCTCTGTTGTTTCTCAATTATGTAGATGTATGTAGACACCCCTTTTTACAGCTTTTATTAATAACACAAGTCACTGTTGCGAATGTCCTTGAAAACCTAGAAGGTTGGGGAGAGGGGTGTTAGGAGAGGAAGCAGTTGGGCCAGCTGGTAAGTTAGAAAATTCAAGCAGCAAGGCTAGGCTGTAAAGTTCAGTGCCTGTAATCTACATTTCTCAAAAGTAACACCTAACATGAAAATCCAGATATGACTCCATATTTAAAACCATCTCTGTAAACTTTTTACAGAGCTGCATGGCTAGCTACTTATCCCTCTTTGTCTTTTGGAAGAGGGCTGATACTAATCATATTCCAGTACTCATTATCATTTTACAAATGAAGACTAATATTATCCACAAGCTATTGGAATAAAAAAATGGGAAAGGTGACATCTTAAGATTGATCTTAAGGCTCAACACTACAATCTATCTCAGAGGTGTCCAATCTTTTGGCTTCCCTGGGCCACGTTGGCAGAAGAAGGACTGTCTTAGGCCACACATAAAATATACTAACACTAGCAATATCTGATGAGGTAAAAATAAAAAAAAGAAAAAAAAATCACAAAAATATCTCGTAATGTTTTAAGAATGTTTAGGAGTTTGTGTTGGGTTACACTCAAAGCCCTTCTGGGCTGCATGTGGGCCACAGGCCGGACAAGCTTGCTCTAACTCCTCTTAGTTATCTCACTCTCCACTAAGACATTAGCATGAGTCTGAAGTAGCTAGTATCCTAAAGAACTCTAGGATTAGACCAGTTGTGGTGGCTCATGCCTCTAATCCCAACACTTGGAAGGTCAAAGTGGGAGCTCTGTTTGAGGACAGGAGTTCAAGACCAGCCTGGGCAACATAGAGAGGCCATGCCTCTACTAAAGATAAAAATTAGCTAGGCATGGTGGCGCCTATCTGTAGGTACAGCTACTTAGGAGCTCTGAGGCAGGAGGATGGCTTGAGGCCAGAAGTTTGAGGCTGCAGTGAGCTATGACTACACCACTGCACTCAGCCTAGGCAACAGAGATCCTGTCAAACAAACAAAGAACCCTAGGATTAGAAAAGAATAGGCTCAAAGACAAACCAAACCAAACAGGGGAAAAGGGAGTGAAATGACTGTACAGAAATCTTAGGTCACCAAACCCTTGTAGGACTGGAGGGTACAGTAAGCATTTGAGAATGTGTGTGAACTCAGCAAGATGGAATTACAGTGTCACTAATCAATTTTTATCACTTTTTCAAGACAAAGAGAAACAAGTAAATTTTTAGTACCATTCTTAAATGCAAAAGAGGTTATCTGTTGTGTGAACTAGCTTAGAAAGAAGTTGTGAGGTAATATTTTGGCATATTAGTTTGTATTCAGCTTTTGGTTTTCTCTTAGGAAATGATTTATGTTTTCAAGTATTACACCAAAACACTTAAATAAATTTGTCACTAAGTTGGTTGATTTGTCAGGAAAACACACAATAGAAAAAATACTTGCCATATAAGGAGAAGGAGCATTATCATCTGAAACACTGTAGAATGACACTTCAACTGGAAGAGTCAAATGCGTGGTGCAGAAAACACCACTTGCCCCTACCTCGGCAGTAAAGCCATCAACAATGCCGAGAGGATCTAAACGATAGTTCAAGACAGATTCCTGGAAGACAAAATAATTTTTAAAACTCAATTTAAAAAGCTAACACATTGATTTTTTTTTCTATTTAAAGAAATATACACTTAGTCAAAAGGCAGAGAAGTGATTAAAAGAAATATATTACTATGCTTTCTGGTACTACAACAGTGGTTGTTACTATTGTCATGTCCTTATTTCTGCTTTTCGTCTGACTTGACGTTAACTCCATCTCCCATCAGTCTTCTACCATCCCACATAAGTTTGGTCTTCCCTCACTATTCCAGCTTACACTCAACTCTCCTGCAACTTCAGCATCAGTTAGGCCTAATTGTTTACTATGTTGTTTTTATATTTGCAAATCTAAAAATATGTTCTATCAGAGCAGGTATTTATCCCTCACAGTGCCTATTCATGGTGCTAGGCACAGAGAAACACTTGAAAACCTAACAGGTTATACATGGAAGTTCCATCAAAAGATGAAGTCAAGAACTTATAATTTTAACTGAGAAATAATTACTTCTTTTAAAAAGGGAGTATGTGACACGTTTTATTTAGTTTAATTTAAAACATAATAAATGTGCATTTATAAAAAACTTAAAAGTACAGAAGCTCCTTATCCATCCCTCCCCCAAGGTCACTCACTGAGATAACTACTTTTAACAACTTAGTGGTTATCCTCCCAGTCATGACAAACATTTAAAACTTTTCACAAGTTTCATTTTATATACATTATATATTTTATATATATCAATACATATATGCATACCTCATAAAATGTGAGTAGCATTCCTTTGATTAAGTAATTCTTTGAAAAGAAATGCTACAAAGCTTCATGATTCTAAAAGTTTATGTAGTCTAAATGAGAAATAGTGACATATCGGTAATTCTGATCTCCTGATGAAAAAGATAAAGCCAAAAGATGTGGGTCACAATCAACCTTCTATAGCTCCTTCTTGCCCTGTAATTAATCCAATCCATATCCTACTGATTTCACCTCATGGTCTCATGGCCTCATCTCTATCCCTACCACCACCACTATCCTAGTGACCTAGGTGATCCTCATAAGCTCTCCTCTGAATAAACACTACATCTTCTAATCAGTCTTTCCATCTGTAGTGTATCCCCTGTACTATTGCCAGAGTTCTTTTTTTAAAAAAGCCTTAGAGTATCACCCACCACTTAAAAACTTTGTTTCCTGCTGTCTATAGGATGAGGTCAACATTCTTGCCACAGCCCTTGAGCTCCACCATGCCTCTCCTGTTTCATCTCTCCCAACATGTACAGAGTCCCATGCTCCAGCTCCAGTGGATCCTTTCCAACATCGCCATGCTCTTTTACATTTGCACACGTGCCTTTGCACATACAGTTCCTTTTGTCTAGAGTCTCTGATTCTGGCACAAATTTACTTGGCAAATTTCTTCTCATCTTTTGTGACCAAGCTCGAATGACATTTCCTCAGTAAAGCTTTTCCCATCTCTTTAGCAAAGATAGTAGATATACAAGTACTAGGAAACTTCTATTACACTGCTAATTACTTCAGTTTATAAATTATTTACTTGCCTGGGTAAATTATGTGCCCACCTTCTCCAATAGACTATAAATGTCTCTAAGGCAGGAACTTTATAATTTAAACTTTGTATTCCTAGCACATAGTAAGTACTCAACAAATGTTTCCTAAATTTGAGGTCTATTCTGAAGATGCAAAAAATTTTCATAGAAGGGGCACATACAAAAATGTTTCTGCATTACGGCAAATGACCAATATTACTTGCTGACTTTATCTAAGGTGATTTAGATTTAGCTTTTTGTAAATTTAATATACAAGCATATATGCTAGGCCCTACTCAGTGCCGTATGACAAGAAAAAATAAAAATAAAAAGACATACAAACAAAAAGCCAAAACTATCCCTATTTATAGATGACAAGACAGTCTATGTAGAAAAATTCCAAGGATTACTTTTAAAAATCTACTGAAATAAGTGAGTTGAGCAAGATCACTAGTGATTTTTTATGTATGTATATCTACACATGCACACACACACACACACACACACTTAAACACACACATTCATTCAAAAATACTAGTAATGAACAGTTGACAATTTTAAAGTTTAAATTACAATATCAATAGAAAACATGAAATAATTAGGTATACATCTAAAAAATATATCCAAAATCTGGGCCAGGAGTAGTGGCTCACACTTGTAATCCCAGCAGTTTGGGAGACTGAGGTGAGAGGATTGCTTGAGGCCAGGAGTTTACGAAAAGCCTATGCAAACATAGCAAGGCCCCATTTTTACAAATTTTTTAAAAAAATTAGCTGGGTGTCGTGGCACCGGTGTGGAGTCCTAGCTACTCGGGAGGCGAGGTGGGATGAATGCTTCAGCCTGGGAGATCGAGGCTGCAATAACGTATGATCATGCGGCTACACTCCACTGTGGGTGGCAGAGAAAGTCCCTACCCCTATTAAAAAAAAAAAAAAAAGGTCTGAGATACGCATACTAAAAACTATAAAATACTGATGAAAGAAATAAAAGAATATTAATAAACAGATTTCATGGGTTCAAAGACTTCATAATTTTAAGATGTCAATTTTCCTCAAATTGTTCTGTATTAATATAATCCAAACAAAATCTCAGTACGCTATTTTGTGGAAATAGACAAGTTGATTCAAAAATTAATATGAAAAAACAAATGAGCTAGTTTAAGCAATTATAAGAAAGAACAATAAAGTTAGGACTCACATTACCTGAATTTCAACAGTAGGAAATTGAATACCCATATGCATAAAAGGGAACCTGGACTGCACACCTCCTATTATGCAAAAATTAACTCAAAATAGATCACAGGTCTAAACATATGAGCTAAAACAAACTTTTAGAAGAAAACAGAAGAAAGTCTTTGTGATCTGGGGTTGGGCCAGCGGTTCTCAACCAGGTGATATATGCTAATATATGAAGACATTTTTGGTTGCTAGAACTAGGCAGGGGATTACTATTGGAATCAAGTGGATAGAGGCCAAAGATTCTTAATCCTACAATGCACAAAGAGCCCTCCAGAAGAATTATCTAACTCAAGTATCAACAGCACTAGTGTAAAGAAGCCTTGGGCTAGGCAATTTTTTTTAAGATTCAACATCAAAAGTAAGATTCATTAAAGAAAATGTTAATAAATTAGAAATCAAAAAATTTAAAATCTTTTACTCTTGTAAAGACACTGTCATAAAAATGTACAGTCAAACTTCACACCTGGAAAAAAATTTGGAAAACAAACGTGTTTATTTGGCAAGTAAGTGCAGGAAAAGAGGGTTAACATAAATAGTCATCAGGGAAATACAAATTAAAACCACAATAATTAACATGAAAATGACTGATCATTGCAAACAATATCAAGGATGTGGAAGAACTAGAATTCTCAATGATGATGCAAGTTAAAAATGGTATAATCACTTTGGAAAACAGCTTGACAGTTTCTTAACAGTTAAACATACATCTATCCTATTACCTATTCTGTTCTATTCTGGGTAGCTACCCAAGTGAAATGAAAATGTATGTCCACATAAAAATTCATACATAAATGTTTATAGCAGCTTTAGTTTTAATAACCCCAAACTGGTGATAACCCACAAGTCTAAAATAAGGTGAAAAGCCAGGCACGGTGGCTCACGCCTGTAATCCCAGCACTTTGGGAGGCTGAGGCGGGTGGATCACGAGGTCAAGAGATCGAGACCATCCTGGTCAACATGGTGAAACCCCATCTCTACTAAAAATACAAAAAATTAGCTGGGCATGGTGGCGCGTGCCTGTAATCCCAGCTACTCAGGAGGCTGAGGCAGGAGAATTGCCTGAACCCGGGAGGCGGAGGTTGTGGTGAGCCGAGATCGCGCCATTGCACTCCAGCCTGGGTAACAAGAGCGAAACTCCGTCTCAAAAAAAAAAAAAAAAATAAGGTGAATGAATAAACAAACTGTGGTATATCTATACAACAGCAATAAAAAGGAATGAACTCTTGATATACAGGACAATATGGGTTATCTTAAAAACAGTGACACTGGGTTAAATAAATCCCCAAGCCACCTCCCTAGGAGTAAATACTGTGTGACTACATTTATATAAAATTCTAGAAGATACAAGCTATTTTATAGTGACAGAAAGCACTAAGATTCCCTCATAGAGGAAAAATAACTCATTTCCAATGGTTGTATTATGCTGGACTGAAATGACAGAAGAAAATCACAGGACAGACGAACTGAACAGATGACGACAAGGTTTTGCAGTAGAGAACTCTAAATCAGGGTGTCCAATCATTTGGCTTCCCTGGGCCACACTGGAAGAAGAAGAACTGTCTTGAGCCATATGTAAAATATGAATTGTCTTGGCCACATGTAAAACATACTAACTTTGGCTGGGCGCAGTGACTCATGCCTATAATCCCAGCACTTTGGGAGGCCAAGGCAGGTGGATCACCTGAGGTCAGGAGTTGGAGACTAGCCTAACCAACATGGTGAAACCCATCTCTACTAAAAATACAAAACTAGCTGGGTGTGGTGGCATGAGCCTGTAATTCCAGCTACTCAGGAGGCTGAGGCAGGAGAATCACTTGAACCTGGGATGTGGAAGTTGCAGTGAGCCAAGGTTGTGTCATTGCACTCAAGCCTGGGTGACAGAATAAGACGCTGTCATAAAAAAGAAGAAACAAGAAGAAGAAGAAGAAGGAGGAGGAGGGGGAGGAGGGGGGGAGGAGGAGGAGAAAAAGGAGGAGGAAAAAGAAAAAAAAAAGAGAGAGAGATCCAAGATGGCTGATTACTAGCAGCTCAAGATTGTAGCTCCCAGTGAAAGCGCAGAGAATGAGAGGGTGCCACACTTTCAGACGAATTTTTGTTGCTCACAGACCAGGAGATTCCCAGCGGAGGAGCCCCATGGGTCGCCAGCGCAACTCTTGTGGCCGGGGCGGCGGTTCTCGGTGCAGAGTAAACGAGACTGGGACCCCTTTTGGTCGACGTTTGGAGCTCCGGGAAGGCAGAGTCGCCCATTCAGCTGATTGAAAAAGGGACTCAAGAGGGAAGCCAGACCGGAGATTCTTGGGCAGAAAAGCACCAAGAATCTTAACGCCGCTGTTTTAGCCAGCGCAGTGGGTTGCTCAGATTTTAGTTCTGGGAATCAACAAGTTGGATGTCCACTCAGAGACCTAATTTGAAAGTCAGTAATTACAAAGATGACAGGTGGATAAATTTACAATGATGGGAAGAAACCAGCGTAAAAAGGCTGAGAATACTCAAAATCAGAATGCTTCTCCCTCTACAGGGGATCACAGTTCCTTATCAACACGGGAACAAGGCCTGATGGAGAATGAGTACGTTCCAATAATAGAATTGGGCTTCAGAAAGTGGATAATAAGAAACATCTGTGAGTTAAAAGAACATGTTCTAGCCCAATGTAAAGAAACTAAGAACCTCGAAAAAAGTTCGATGAAATCATAACGAGAATAGACAATTTAGAGAGGAATATAAGTGAATTAATGGAACTGAAGAATACAATACGAGAACTCCGCAAAGTATGCACAAGTTTTAACACTCGAATTGATCAAGCAGAAGAAAGGATATCAGAGGTCGAAGACCAACTTAATAAAATGAAACAAGAAGACAAGATTAGAGAAGAAAAAGTAAAAAGGAATGAGCAAAGTCTCCAAGAAATACGGGACTATATGAAAAGACCTAATTTACGTTTGATAGGTGTACTTGAATGTCATGAAGAGAACGAATCCAAGCTGGAAAATATTTTTCAGGATATTATTCAGGAAAACTTTCCTAACCTAGTAAGGCAGGACAATACTCAACTCCAGGTAATATAGAGAACACCTCAAGAAGAGCAATCCCAAGACACATAATCGTTAGATTCACCAGGGTTGAAATAAAGGAGAAATTCTAAGGCCAGCTAGAGAGAAAGACTAGGTTACCCATAAAGGGAAGCCTATCAGACTCACAGCAGATCTCTCAGCAGAAACCCTACAAACTAGAAGAGAGGGGGGGTCAATATTCAATATCCTCGAAGAAAAGAATTTTCAGCCCAGAATCTCATATCCAGCCAAACTAAGCTTCATAAATGAAGAAAAAATAAAATTTTTTGTGAACAAGCAAGCACTCAGAGATTTCATCACCACCAGGCCTGCTTTACAAGAGCTTTTGAAAGCAGCACTACACACAGAAAGGAACAACCAGTATCAGTCATCCCAAAAACTTACCAAAAGGTAAAGAGTATCTTCATAATGAAGAATCTATATCAACTAATGTGCAAAATAGCCAGCTAGCATTAAGTGACAGTATTAAACTCACAAATATCAATATTAATCCTAAATTTAAATGGATTAAACGCCCCAATCAAAGACACAGACACGTAAATTGAATAAAAAGCCAAAACCCATTGGCATGATGTATCCAGATCCATCTCATAAGCAAGGACACACAAAGACTCAAAACAAAAGGTTGGAGGAAGACTTACCAATCAAATGGAGAGAAAAAACCAAAAACAGAAACAAAAAAAAAACAGGAGTTGTAACTTTCGTCTTTGACAAAATAGACTTTAATAGTAACAAAGACTTAAAGAAACAAAGAAGGACATTAATTACATAATGGTAAAAGGATCAATGTAACAACAGGAGTCAATGATCATAAATATATATGCATCCAATATAGGAGCACCCATATACATAAGACAAGTTCTTAATGACTTATAAAGAGACTTGGACTCCCGCACAATAATAGTGGGAGACTTTGACACCACATTGTTAATATTTGACAGATCAAAGAGATAGAAAATTAGCAGGGACATTTATGATTTGAACTCAGACCAGGAACAAGTAAACTCGGTGAATATTTATAGAACTCTTCACCCCAGGACCACAGAACATACATTTTTTTCAGTATCACATTACACCTATTTTGAAAGTGAACACATAAATGGAAGTAAATCACTCTTCAGCATTTGCATAGCATTTCACATATTTAAATGAAATATTGGTTGGCTGTTTGTTATTTTCTTCCCTTATTCCTTCCTGTCTCCGCTGTTAAGTACAATTATTGGCATAAAGGAGGTTTTTAATACCTATTTTTAGATTGCATTCCAGCCTGGGCACTAGAGTATGACTCCTGTTCTCTCTCCCCCTTTCTCTTTCTCTTTCTTTCTTTGTGGCCCTCCCCTGCCCCACCCCTCACGCCTCCCTACCCCTTCTCTCCTCTCATATTAAAAAAAAAAAGAAAAAAAATACATAGACAGATATTAACACTAGCTGATGAGCTTAAAAAAATCGCAAAAAAAAATATATCTAACAACATTTTAAGAAAGTTTACAAATTTGTGTTGGGCTGCATTCAAAGCCGTCCTAGGTCACAGCTGGACAAGCTTGCTCTAAATGGTAGCAAGAAAAGGTGACTATTAGCTATTAGACTATTTGGGTATTATTCTGTGCCCATGTGTTTCCAGACTTTAATTAATGCCCCATAAATAATGTCTAAAGATCATGATTTCCCCCAACATTACAGGGATAAGACTTTGTCCTGTTTCATTAAACAAATCTAATGTGTCTTTTTAGTGATTCAAGTCTAACCCCATCTTTTATTGCCACAGAATATCAAATTCACTAAGCAGAGGAAATACCTTCTGTAATATACTTAAAACATTAAATTCATTACAAATAAGACCTATGGGTTGGACAGTCTCAGAACATCTCTATTTCTTAAGTCACTTGAAAAATGTATGTATATCTGCACAAACAGAATCCTTTGAAAACTGTGTACTGATCTTTATCTTCTGTGATATGGTTTGGATATGGATATGTTTGTCCCCTCCAAATCTCATGTTGTAATGTAATCCCCAACATTGAAGGTGGGACCTGGTAGAAGGTGTTTGGGTCATAGAGGTGGATCCTTCATGAATGGCTTGTTATGTCCTTCCAATAGTACGTTCTTAATGAGATCTGGTTGTTTAAAAGCATATGGCACCTCCCCCCTAACTCTCTTGCTCCTGCTTTCACCATAGGATGTTCCTGCTCCTCCTGTGCCTACCACCATAAGTAAAAGCTCCTGAAGGCCTCATCCGAAGTGGATGCCCGCACTATGCTTCATGTAAAGCCTGCAGAACTGTGAGCCAGCTAAACCTCTTTTCTGTATAAATTACCCAGTCTCTGTTATTTGCTTACAGCAATGCAAAAACAGCCTTAATACATTCCTTTTTCTAAAGTTTTCACAAATCAGACTGCTTTCTTTTTCACTTATAAATTTTTTTGTAGTATATACTTCAAAAGGAGCCAAAAAAAAAAAAAAATGTCTTGTAGTACAAAGGTTACAGAGCACCTGACCCTCACAATGGCCTATGCAATTTTAATTTGATGACAAAGAGGAATAGAGAGCTTAACATCTCTGAACTGATTTCTTCAAAGTGACATGAAAAGACTTACCATGAAACATCTTTTCCACTAAAACTTTGAAAGATAGCTTCACTAGTGAAATAGTTACAAAGCATATGGTTAATATATTAAAAAACAACTCCTGTAAAACTACTTATCTTAAAAATATAAAATTTTAATTATTTTCCCCCAAAAAACTCACCAGTTAAAGTCACTTTAAAAATGTTGTTTACAGGTTCATAATTAAGGTTAAACTCATTTCTAATTACAGATAACTGAAACCCATGGTTTCTACTTGACCCCAAGTAGAAATATTGGGAATAAACATATCAGAAATCTTATTTAAATTAAAAAAAAAATCTGGTTGCTTTAGAATAGCTGTAGATTTACAAAGAAGTTGCAAATAAAGTGCACAGAACCGTTTGGTTTTGCAAATCAACTTCCCTGATTATGAAGGGGCTGCTGATAGTCCACCATTATATTCCCTGGATCCTAGACCCAATTTTACCAAGTAAGAAGACGACAAATATATTCTCCTGGCTAAAGTAACAGATTCCTCAATCCAACCTAATTTCACCAGTCTTCTATTTTCCATCTGCTACCCAATTCTAAGATGTCACTGCCAACAACTCTGACTTCCCTTCTTGTGAAAATAAAATAAAAAGGTAATTTCAACACTTGAAAAAAAGACAATTCCTTTCTTTCCCTTTCACGATCAAAGTTAAAGACATAAAATGACACCCTGGAACCTAGGTGTCAAATAAGAAATTTCCATTTAAAAAACAGTTTCAAAGCACATTACCTCAAAATTTCCTAGGAGACAAAGACTTGTTATAGGTGGAGCACTAGAACTCAAAAATGGTTTTTCATGAATATCTGGATCATCTTCAATGTTTAAACATGGTCGAGGACTATTAAAAAAAAAAACAAATCAGCAAAATAACACATTAGCCACAATACTTTTTTTTTTTTTTTGGTGGGGGGTCAGGGTCTTATTCTGTCACCCAGGCTGGAGTGCAGTGGTGCCATCATAGCTCGTTACAGCCTCAAACTCCTAGCTTCAGGCAATCTACCTGCCTCAGCCTCCCAAAGTGCTGGGATTACAGGTGTAAGCCACCAAGCGCAGCCACAATATTATTTTCTTTGGTACAAAATTAGGAAAATCTGAACAATTCTACTCAAACTACCATAATAAAACTAATGTTACCAAATTTGAAAATATAAAATTTCAAGTTTAAAATTCCCAATCAGATTTTATTATCCTTGTTACAATATTTTATAAACACACATACACACATCCTAAAAGGTTTCAGGGTGGAATTTAGAACATATGAGATAGTGGCATCTACTGGAAATAAATAATAATGCAGACTTCTATATCAATCTTATTTTCAGTTAAGAATGAGAATACAAGGGCAAAATTGTGTGACTAAAGAATATAATCAGAGTATTATTTGCCAACATGGAAAAAAACGGCCAAGGTTGTTTTTTCCCCCCCCGAAAGAGTAACAGGTAGTAGAGGTTAATGACTAGAAATATATAAAACCACTTAAATGTTAAAACCAACGTAAGAGTTTATGATGACCACTATATAGCTGCTACTCATTGACTTAATTTCTTCCACCCTTAATAACTGTGTGTACATGGTATCATACTGTAAATAAGATTCCTGTTTTTTAGAATCAACATTATTTATTATTAAAGACCAGAATTTTGTGAAATTGTTTGATACACACAAATGAATTTTGGGATAAATACCTTCTAGATGAGAAGTTTTTCAGATGCAGTAATGAAGAATCCAGATCAAAGCAACCAGATTGTGTTTTTCTTTGAGGAACCTAAGGTCAAAACGATCATTTGCGATATTAAAAAAAATTAATTTTTTCTTGAATTGATAACATACTTTTCAAATGAAAGTTAGGCATATCTTTGAAATACTACAACGTCTCCTATAATAGCTTATTTAAAATCATGCTGTTCATTACATATTGTTCTTATTTCTTCTTTTATTAAGTAGTGTTGAAAAAACAGATGATTAATAAAAGCACTTTTACTAGGTTTTGATTGTTATAAGAAGGAGAACCAGTTTTTTCCAAAACCAAATCCTGCATAGAATTCCAATATATAATATAAATAGAATTTGGCTTTTTTGTATACTTCTCTATTATTTTTTTTGGTGGGGGGATACTTCCAACTTTAAAATAAAGAGGAAAAAAACCCAACAAAATAGAGACAGAAGCCTGAGGTCTCGCCAGCACAGCCCATCTTTTGCCCATTCCATCGACTGCAACATTTCCAAGAACTCTAATGCTTTACAGAGAATAGATTTGAAAAGTACTACTCTCCTAGGTTTTCAACGATCATTGTATACCAGATTACTTTTAGGGCAAAACACCACCTAGCTCAAAATATCCTACAATGAAAGACCTACATGTTAATAAAGGTAAAATAATATACAACATACAAGTTAGATAGTTTTGTTTCTACAATATTAAAGATGTGTATCTGACTCACTGGTCTAATTGGTGACTGAAGAAATAGACGATACTGAAAGTCTAAACCACGTCAACATTTTGGAGAATTGTACCAGTGCACTGTTTTATTTGCCGTAGTCAGAATTTACTGTGAAATTTTCAATCTAAACCCTCATGTCTTCAATCCTGGAAAGTTTTCTACCTTTACTTCTAATATTGCATTTTCCTAATCTATTTAGTCCTTCTTTTAAAATTTCTACTAGACTTAGATTGAACATCTTATTTTCTTTTCTCTACAGCTTTTTCGTATTTTACTATTTCTCTTCCTTTTTGTGCTTCATTCTAGGTGCTCCCTAAATATTTGTCTACTCACTCACAAAATCTCTACTGAGCTGATCCTAGTCTGCTGTTTAATTCATCTGTATGTGTATGCATCTCTGTGTATGGACTTCATATATTTTTCATATCTAGACTTTCTATTTAGTTCAAATCTATGATGTTTCATCTAAATTCCGTATCTTTGCCTTCATTTATCTCCCAGAAACACTTTAAACAGTTATTTTTAACTCTCAATTTGCTCTGACAACAGAGTTCCTATATGTGCAACATCCCATTTCTTGCTCCTGCCGATTCTTTTAAGGTGCTTTGTAATTTTTTTTCCTCTAAGATCATCTTCAGTAAGAGGTATTTTCTAAAAAAATAAATCCTTGCTGCTCTGTGTTACAGATGTGGGATAGTTTCATGCTTCCCCTCTAGTGCTAAATGGATTTCATGGGTTCCAATTTAGTTTTCATGGCTTTTTCTTAGCTAGACATCTCTGAATTTCATAGGTAGCATAAATTCAGAACCCCTACTATGTATGGCTTAGATTTAGGCACACTTTCTTTCAGGTGCTTCCTTTTCTCCCACATACTCCACCTGATACACTCGTGAGTAAACAGATGAATATTTTTTCTTCTCCCTCATTTATAGAAAACCAGTCTTCCCTGTTTCTGGCTTTATGAAGAATCTGGTCTCAGCTGAGATTGTTACAGACTTGTAGCCTGGACTCCTGTCTCAGCAGGGGCATTGAACCCTAGTAATATATTAGGTTCAAATATCCTAGGGGACAGGGTTACTCCTTGGGAATTTTTCTTTCTTGCTCTTACATTATGCATTTGGAAGTTATTATACTTCTTCCAGAATCTCTGTGTGGGGGAAGGGGCAAGTGTTTTTATTTTAAAATGGACAAAAAAAAATCTGAACAGTCATTTCTCAAAAGATAACATATAAATGGCCAATAGGTATATGAAAAAATGCTCAACACCACTAATCAGAGAAATGCAAATTAAAACCATAATGAGATGTTGTCTCACTCCAGTTAAAATCACTTCTATCCAAAACATAGGCAATAATGGATGCTGGCAAGGAGGGAACAAAAGGGAAACCCTCATACACTGTTAGTGGGAATATAAATTAGTACAGCCACTGTGGAGAAGAGCATGGAGGTTCCTCAAAAAACTAACAATAGAACTACCATATGATCCAGCAATCCCACTGCTGGGCACATATCTTAAGGGAAAAAAAGGGAAATTAGTATACTAAAGAGATAGCTGTACTCCAATGTTTACTGCAGCACCACTTGCAACAGCCAAGATATGGAAGCAACCTAAGTGTCCATCAATAGATGGATGAAGAATGAAAATGTAGTATAGATACAACGGAATATTATCCAGCCATAAAAAGGAATGAATTCCTGTCTTTTGCAACAATCTGAAAGAAATGGAAAGACATTATGCTAAGTGAAATAAGCCTGGCAAGAAAGACAAATATTCCATGTTCTCACTCAAATGGGGGAGCTTAAAAAAATAATTGAACTAATGAAGATAAAGGGTGTAACAATGGTTGCCAGAGGCTTGAAGAGTTCTGAGTAGGGAAGGATAAAGTGGGAATGGTTAATGGGTTCAAAAACACTGTTGAATACAATGAATAAGATCTAGTATTTGGTAGCATAACAGGATGACCATAGTAAAAAATAATTTATTGTATATTTAAAAATAAGAGTGAAATTGGAAGGTTCCTAACACAAAGAAATGATAAAGCCTTGAGGTGATGGGTAACCCATTTACCCTGATTTGATCACTACACATCACACGTACCCCCATAAATATATACAACTATTATGTACCCGTAAGAATTAAAAAAAAAACCATTTGGAATTTTAAAAAGTTGTTTGGACTTCAACTTTTCTAAAATGGAACCCTGAAGTCCAAGTTATATATTTAAATTCTACATCTATTGTTCGGTAATTATTTTTTTGAACATATGCCAGATATTGTATTCTTTTAGTTACTAAAAAACACATACAACTAAAAATATGTTTGTAGCAAATTACATAGGCTTTTAGTTCTGCTACAAAATTTACGGCTTACTCCATGTTTAACTGAAATGGCAGCCATACCAACTAACTACTGAGTGCTTACATGCAAGAGAAATGCTACTAATCCTCACAACACTAAGGTAGACATTATCATCCTGATCTGCAGATGAGGAAACTGAGACTCCAAGAGATTGTGTTGCACAACTAGGGTGAAGTCAGTGTGACTCCAAAGTGATGCTTTTAACTACTGTACTCAGATCTCTAAGTCTACATGTAATTGAGGAGTGCAGAGATTTGTATGTCTCAAAATAAGATGATTAAGTAAAGGGATTCCAAATCAAAAACAGAAATAGATTTAATTTGCAGATGACCCGGTTAGTGGTATCACTAAGATACAAATCCACTTTATAGCTTTTGTTTTCACATCTAGTAACAATGAAAATTTTAGGCAAAATAATTTCAGAGAAATTTTGTAACTCTAGTAAATTTCATTTTTATTCACATTTTTGTCTTTTTCTATATTATCACATAGCTGTTAAATGTATTGTCAAAAAATAAAATGTTTGATAAATGGAAATTTAAAGTTTTTTCAATTAAAATCTGAATAAAATTATTTGTAAACCTTTCAGATATGTGCAAGTTCTATGCATGAGATAAGAAAAAAATGCTTACAGGACTTGAAAGAAGAGGCAATCCAGTTTGAGGATGAAAGGCTCTGGTTGAAGTTCCATCCAAGGAATGAAAATTATGTTTTCGCCAGACATTTGAATGATTCAGTGTAGTCCTCTGTTAGGAAAATAATTATATTTTAATTATAATAATTTAATACCATTTAAAGAACTTGCACAGCTTTTTTGCTTTTAGACTCATTCCTAACACAATCTGAGGTACTGCTGGTGAAGCTGGTGATATACAAGTTGAATATCCCTTATCCAAAATACTTGGGGTCTAAAAGTGTTTAAAAGTTTGAAATTTTTTCCTTGATTTTGGAATATTTGCATCATATATACTTTACTGGTTAAGCACCCCAAATGCAAAAATCCCAAATCTGAAACATTCCAATGAAAATTTCCTTTGAGGCCTTCTCAGCAATCAAAAATTTGAATTTTGGAACATTTCAAATTTGGGATGCTCAAACTGTATATCTGTAACTTATATTTACACGCATATATATATTCTAATTAGAAAACAATGTCTAAAATGGTTTTTGTACTATGCTGAATAAACTAAGTTCTAAAGAAAATATCCCAGCACTTTGGGAGGCCAAGGCAGGCAGATCACGAGGTCAAGAGATTGAGACCATCCTGGCCAACATGGTGAAACCCCGTCTCTACCAAAAATACAAAAATTAGCTGGGCATGGTGGTGCGCACCTGTAGTCCTAGCTACTCAGGAGGTTGGGGCAGGAGAATTGCTTGAACCCAGGAGGCAGAGGTTGCAGTGAGCCGAGATAGCGCCACTGCACTCCAGCCTGGTGCCTGGTGACGGAGCGAGACTCTGTCTCAAAAAAAAAAAAAAAGAAAAAAAGAAAATATGTCCAAATGTAAATGCCTTATATGGTCATGTATGGTCAGAATTTATCATCTAGCAAGCTAACATTTTATTATTTTGATTTGTGAAAAAACTACTATGGTAGTTCCTCAGAATTCTCAGGGGATATATTCCATAAACCCCAGTGGATGCCTGAAATCACCTATAGTACCAAACACTATATATATTTTTTCCTATACATACCTATTGTGAAGTTTAATTTATAAATTAGGCACAATGAGATTAATGATAATAATAAAATATAATTATAACAATACACTGTAATAAAAGTCATGTGTCTCAAAAAACAAAAACAGAAAAACCAACCAACCAAAAAAAAAAAAAAAAAAAAACAGAGGCACTCAACTTTTTAATATTTGACCTGTCATTTCAAGAGAAGGAATAGTATATAATATGTATAAAATAACACTTGGATTTTATATGTTGCTTGGATATAATGTTCAGCTATATTAGATAATAGGTTTGTGTAAAAGTAATTGAGGTTTTTGCCATTGAAAGTAATGGCAAATCGCAATTACTTTTGCACCAACTTAATAGAATACTTGGTTCTTTTGGTTTCATCATGGGACAGGTAGGACAGTTATGAGGAAACTCGGACTCAGAGAGAATAACAGACATACCAGTAGCTGTACAAAGTCCTTAGCGATTCAACTGACAACCCCACCCCAGTCTCTTGACTCCTAATACCTCACAATAATCCAGGGCAAATCTGTGGACTACACAATTCCTTGGTTCATTCCTCCTGTTGAGAAAATGAATGAATTCCTCTTGTTGCCTTTTTTATTTCAGTACTTACAAACAATTCTTGGATAGTAAACAGGAGTCAGAAATTAAATTTGTATTAGCTTAATGTATTATTTGTTAGCAGGTCCGACCAAATACTAGCAGTGTGACCACTGTGCTATGCTGTTGGTCAGTTAATGACTTTGAAAATATATACAGGGAAATCACTAAGCTACTGGTCCCAACACCTGAGTTATAGTCCTGGCTTCACAGTTTAGTCCTTGAGTGACAGTGAATTACTTCTAAAAACAAGACTCATGATAAATCTCTTTTGCCTATCTCAGAGCGGTAACAATCAAATAATTTGTAAGTATTCTGTAGACCTTAATGTACTATATGAATAAAAGATATCTTGTTATTTCCATTTCATTTTTTGAGACAGGGTCTCACTTTGTTGCCCAGGCTGGAGTGTAGTGGCACAATCATGGCTCATTGCAATCTTGAACTCCCGGTCTCAAGTGGTCCGCCCACCACAGCCTCCCAATAGCTAGGCCTACAGGTGTGTACCACCATGCCTGGCTAAATTTTATATATATATATATATATATATATATATATTTTTTTTTTTTTTCGGTAAAGACAGGGTCTCACTATGTTGCCCAGGCTGGTCTCCAACTCCTGAGCTCAAGTGATCCTTCTGCCTCAGACTCCCAAATTGTTGAGAGCCACCATTCCTGGCCTGGGTGCTTTTGTCTAGAAGAAAAACAGGCCTTTAGGATGGGGGAGCAGGGAGAGAATAGAGCTAAAAGACCTAAATAATAGACCTAACATGTAATGAAAACAATTACTGTCCTATTAACAGTTTTTTTCAAAAAGGTACCACTTCCTATTTTTCAAACCGCGAGATCTTCAATTCCTCCATTTACTTAGCCTTTGTTCTTAGGAGAGTGGGTTATTTGCAAGGATGTTAATACTGGTTCTGTAGGTTTATTATTGTATCAGATTGTGTGTCCCATAGACAATGGAACCTTGGGCCTTTATAACTAGATCTCTTTCGAACAAAATTTAAACCATAACAAATATTTGAGAATCATATTTGACATATTAGATGCTACTTACCAATACCTCTGTATTTTTCGGTTGCTTACATGTAGACAAACAGTCTTTTAAACTTCTCTGAGAACAGTTTTGGGATTTTTCATTAGTTGGATCTTCTTTCTTATCCTGTTCATTTTTTAATTGGTCTGACTTTTTACATTTGAAACCTTCATTATCTTTATTGAGATAATTCTCTATGCTATTAAGTTTAGTATTTTGCTTACATGTCTTAGGCCTTTTTGAGTCTTTGTTTGAGCACATGCTTTCATGTTTGTTCAAATATTCAGACATTTCCAACATAGTAACTTTTGAGTCATTTTTTTTTGAATCATCAGATTGAAGATTGTCAAAGGATTTTAGATGATTGTTCTCATGTATTAATTTTTCCTTATACTTATTTACACAAATCTGTTTTTCAATACTATTGCAGTACGAATGCTGTTTATCAATTCCATTGCTCATTTCTTGCTCCTTAAATCTGCTTGTCAAATCTAAGTTATATTCTTTGCACTGAGACATAATTGAGGAAGTCAATAAACTAGTACTTTTGTTCAGTGTCTCCTGATACGTATTTTGGATGATTTCACTAGGATTGTTCTGACACTGATTTCTTGTTTGAGGTTTCAAAGAACACTTTTCTTTATTATTGTATTTAAAGGCGCTAAAAGATTTATTAGGTATTAAGTTTTTTCCATCACTGGTGTCTCCTAACAAGGAACATTTTGTGTGAGAAATGGAAACAGAGGACTCATCCTTATTTTTCTTCAACAAATTTTTGTCTTCATATGAACTCCTAAACACTTTAGATGCAACCGAACTGGAGTCATGCATGTTGAATGACTGCCGGGGGATATGTGATGCTGCTGGATCAATGTGCTCCAAGTGTTGAGCAATCCTTGCAATAACATCTTGCCGCTCCTGGAGTAAAGAGCCTATCAAAGGATTAGTCTCTCCAACAGACAGATGAGAATAAAAGCCATTAGAAATACAAGTTTCACTTCGACGAGTTTCTGGTTTTAGTCGAATTTTCCCCTCATTGGTGTCTTCTGGGGAGGTAAACTCTGGACTACCAAAAGACATGGAGAAAGTTTCTTTACCTTTTCCCACATTCTCATTTTCTTGTGAAACCCGGAAAAATTTTGAATGGAGTGAACTAGACGCTTGAGTATTAAATGGATGTCCAGAAACATGTGAAGTGCTTGGATCACAATGAATCAAATGCTGGGCAATTCTTGCAATAATTTCTTTCCGCTCCTGAATTAAACAGTCTATTAAAGGATTAGTCTCACCAGCTGACTGCCAGAAACTCTGGCGGTTAGAGACACTGGAATCAATCACTGGAAATGATTTTAAAGTTCTCACTGACGTTTCACGTGATTTTATGTCGCCTAGACCACTAAAGCCCAGAATATTGGCTTGAGATGTCCCATGGTCAGATTTAATGCCAGTGCCTGGATATAGTCTGACATTTTTGACAGCTGCAGTATATTCTGGAGTTGGGCCATTTTTTGCATGTAATACACTTTCAGGTGCCATGGTCCAAGTTTGTTTGCTACACAGACGCTGTGAACTGTTTGTACCACACTGTTCTGCTTCATTTGAATGATGGTGCTGATGGGTTTTAAGTTTATGTTGTTGAATTCTTTTCTCATAAAGGCCAATATTAGCGTGAATACTACAGGTCAAAACTGGATAATTAGATTGTCTGGGCAAGGACTGAACACTGACTTTCAAGGCAACACTGTGAGAAACATTGGGAACAGGAAACACATGCTCAGTCGGAGTCTGTGAAAAATTCCATTGTAGGTCTACGTCAGCAGCACTGATTCTAGAATCACACAGAAAAATACTATGTTAATGGATTATAAAGGATATATCCTTATTACTGCATATTATTTTAAAGGTAAATCAGTCATACACTTATTTTTGTTTGCATTCATTACCACTGAAGCTTACTATTAGCCACTTTATCATGCACATCATTCTGATAAAACCAATGTAAGTGATATAATAATTTATGCTTGGAAGAGATGATCTTTTTAAGCATACCAGATCACTTAAACATTAAAGCTGAAGAATATTGTAATTTAAAAATATTTGTCAAAACAGAAAAAAAGACCTTGTATTTACTAGTAGATATATGGATTCAGCTAATTCTATTGTGCAAAGTGATTAAGATACACCCAATCTCATGGCCATCTGCCTAAAAAGCCAATCAGCTGTTTAGCAGCCTATACCTTTACATTATTCAAGATGTCAAAAATTAAGTAAAACTAACATAGAAATTCAGCAGCTCAGAAAACTTTTCTACTTTATAATAGTAGCATTAAGTCTACTGGTTCTCTAAAGTAAGCTTAAGAGTTCTCCTGATATTATTCCATACCAAATGTAACACAACAAAATTCATACTGATTCAATCTAAATTTCTCTAACTTGTTTTGAAAAACCTCAGTAAATTTTATCCATGTATATTTATAATTGAAGGAAATGATCTATTTAAAAGATAAGATAACATTCGGTTGCTAACCAATGTGGCTGAATATGCATTGTCCTTTTTTTTTTTTTTTTTTTTTTTTTTTTTGCCCTAGACGTACCTGTAGAGAATATTTCGTGGAATAGCACCATGAGAAACACTCAGCCATGCACTTAACTGAGAAAAAAACACAAATGAGCGGACAGCCAACAGAAGCGTCTTCTCTTCAATAAATCGGTCACCATTCCTAAGGGAAGTAACAAAGCATAATTTAAATGTCAGCAAGTACAAAATGACTCAATTTTAGAATGGTAGAAGCTGACATACATAAACTTATCACTCAGGAAGTGTGCTTTGAAGAGCATAGGAATGCACTTACGATGTCACTTGAAGTCACAATTAGTAAATGGAAGCACTATATTTACTTATATTTAGTGCCAAATATAAATACTATCTCAATTTTATTACATAGAGGAATTCAAAGATATACACTTAAATAATTTATCAGAATTAATAAAAAAAAACTTGATTTACCAAGAACAACTTCGAACTACGTTCTACAACTTACTGTCGAGGAACTGGCTCCAAGATCCATCTTTCTAATAATAATGCATCTTGCTTAATTGCAGGATCATTTAGATCAATTCCTTCTGTGCTGGGCCCATCATCGCTGTAGCAGCAGTCTGGGAGTAGCATCACTTCCACCATGATTGGAAGGTTATTCTTCCACAACGATGTGACCTCAGACCTAGTTCGTCTGGCTTGGCGGCACTTAGAGAAAATGAATATAAGCAAAATGTCTCAAAAACCCACCTAATTTTGTTTTTAAAATAGAAAATTATAATTGTAAAGTAGACATCGGTATGAGAAATGAGTCATCTATTGCAGAGCTTTGCTCAGAAATGGCTATCTAGGTGTCCTCATTTAATAATATATCTATGCTAGTGAGCTCTAGAGTGCAAGGATTAGTACTGAGCATTTATTTTATTTTTTTTATTTGACAGTAAGTCTCGCTCTGTTGTCCAGGCTGAAAAGTGCAGTGGCGTCATATTGGTTCGCTGCAACCTCCGCCTCCTGGGTTCAAGCAATTCTCCTGCCTTAGCCTCTTGAGTAGCTGGGATTACAGGCGCCTGCCCCCGACACCAGGCTAATTTTTGTACTTTTAGTAAAGATGGGGCTTCTCCAGGCTGGCCAGGCTAGTCTCAAACTCCTGACCTCAGGTGATCTGCTTGCCTCGGCCTCCCAAAGTGCTGGGATTAGAGGTGTGAGCCACTGCACCTGGCCAGTATTGAACATTATAATGCAAATTTTCTTGAGGATTTTATCTTTGCTCTAACTTGTGGAAAAAGAACTACTATATACAATGTCTGAGAGGCCTCTGAGTTGACCCAGCCTTGCCTACTTTATTAATTTCATCATTTAACAGGAAAGATTACTACTTAAATCTGAACAACAAAATATTAAAAACTCATTTTCATTAAACACTCAAAAGATACATATTTTTTGAGATGGAGTCTCACTCTTGTCGCCTAGGTTGGAGGCATGATCTCAGTTCACTGCAACCTCTGCCTCCTGGGTTCAAGCAATTCTCCTGCCTCAGCCTCCTGAGTAGCTGGGATTACGGGCATGTACCACCATGTCCAGTTAATTGTGTATTTTTAGTAGAGCTGGGGTTTCACCATGTTGGCCAGGTTGGTCTCGAACTACCGACCTCAGCTGATCTGCTTGCCTCAGCCTCCCAAAGTTCTGAAAAGACAGGCGTGAGCCACTGTGCCTGGCCTCAAAATAGACAACATTTTTAAAGTTTAAATATTTGGACCACATTTGAGAAACTAGTAAGTGGCAGAAAAATTTTTAAAGCAAAGTATATGCTACCTGCACCAAAATATGTTTAACAATGCTACACAAAAATGTTAACAAAAAATATCCTCCCATTAAAAAAAACGAATACAAAAGGGAAATTGGTTAATGTGGGGGAAATAATCAAAACAACATCAGTTTACCAAATGAATAATAACACAAAGGGGATGAGCCAGGGCTGAGACTCTAAAAATAAAGAAAGCAAAATTCAACAGCAGAGATAGTCTGAAATCTATCTTATGAGATGGCAGGTATGAAATTGGGTACCCGCCTCCCCACTGATCAGCAAAGCTACCTACCACATTTTCAAGAGCCTTATTTGAGACCATTATCTATGGTCCAGGATTCAGATTTTTCTCCTTTATGATTATGATAAATTTTATATTGAAATGTGACAATTATAACTGTAATAGAATAAAGATGATGATGGAACATAAACTAGTTTATATAAAAGATAAAAAGCATTCAACACAAGATTCTCACCTGGGCCAGCTTGTCACTACATTCATGTTTGGTAGTTACTGGATAACAAGATTGCGCTGGAGGGCAATGAAAGCTTTCTGTTCGACCTTTTACGGAACATTCAGGTGTTCGTCCTTCTGTTATCAGCAAGGCCAAAGAGACCAAGAACTCCTCTGCATCATATTCAAAATATTCATCCAGAGTATCTGAAATAAAAAAGGGACAAAGGGTCCTCAATTTAATGTACTCTCAATAAGAACTCATCTGGTATGTCTAGAATAACTAATGTCACATTACACATTTAAGTATATTGATTAACAAGGAGTGAAAATAATAAAAATGAGACAATCAAAATATACTACACTTTTGATTCACAAACTATTCACAAGTGAGGAGATGATGGATAATTCCAAATTCTAGTTGAATTGGTTAAAATTATGGAATAAAATTGTTTTTATATGAGTGTAAGTTAAAGCACTAAAGGTTTAGAAATACATTTATCATCCTATATTACATGTTTGGATGTCAGGTACAATAGTTTTTGCACACAAATCATCACTAACAGCTAAAAGGTTAAAATGGCTTATGTCGTATTTTTAGCTAAGATGTTCTATTGCTATTATTTACATATTAGAAAAAGACACAGATCCAACTGCATGTTTCTCTTTCTCTCCCCTTCCCTTCCTTAACTAGTTCCTTATGCTCATACTGCTAATTCTGTGACATGAAAATTCATAGTCATGGGGTGCTCTGTGCTTTTACTGTACAGTAATAACAGTTTCTAAGGAAGAAATGCTATAATTATCAAGCAGTGGCAGAAAGTGTGATTTGTAATATATGGAGTATGGTATTTTGGTTATTACAGTTTCAAACAATCCAATCTGTAGATTTTTTTTCATGTAGTTATGGTAATTTAAGTATTTCTCATGAGTGCTGTTAGTTTTCTAACAGTTAATTTTAAAAACTGTTAATTTGCTATACAAGTTGAACATTCATACACAAAACTGCACACACTATTCAATTTTTTGTATAATTTGTTGTACAAAAGTTGCTCTTATCTCTGCCAATTAAGCAACAAATATTTCAAATGCCTATTATACCTTACCAGGTGATAGGGGAACACAGAGTCATAGGTACATAGTTCCTAATTTTGAAATCTTTGGGATTCAGAGAATTTTTTAAACAAACAGAACAATGCAGCATGGAATGGGCAGAGAAAAAATGCAATTTGAGCAGAGATTTCATGCAGAGAAAGCATGCAAAAAGAAGGACTGGAGCCAGATTATGAACAGCTTTGAAGGATATGATAAAGAATGGTCTTTTCTAGTTTCAGGAAGGCTTATCAGGAAAGGAAGAAGCTTTGGCAGTAAACGTTATTGAACTGGTATTTTAAGACCATTCAGTAAAGTTTCTCTAAAGTGACCATTTACAACATAAAATATAGCCAACATTTGCTAACTTATCACTGTCAGTTCTTAGTCCTTTCTACACATCAACTCATTTAATCCTCAGAGCAGCTCTAGAAGGTGAGGATTATTACTTCCATTTTTCAGATAAAGGAAGTATGGAGAGATTAAGTAACTTGGCCAAGATCACCCAGCCTGGAAGTAGCAAAGGTGAATTTTTGGAGCTGCACTGTTTAGCTCCAGAATCTGGGCTCTATTTCTAGTCTTAGTCAATTAATCTACTTTATCATACATCCCCAAAAGTTAAGAAATAAATGGATCATACGCTTTAAAAATTCTCAAAGCAGTAAACACGACAAATACATATTATAACGTACTGTGACAACCACTAGTACAGAGGTTAGCAGTCCATATTATAAAAGCCCAAACGGTCAGTAGTTGAGCAGGGATATGTGGTGGAAGACAGTGGTGAGGAACGGTTCTATGGTAGTGATATGCTGCTGGAGACAGGACACTTACTGTTTTCTCCTGTTAAATGAAAGTAACAGTTGCCCAGCTGTCTGAAAGAGCTTTAGGAAGATCACATAGAGCAAGGCTTTAACTGTGGCCATTGTCAAGGGTGAACACTGGCAGCCTTCTTTAAGTTGTGTGACCCCAGGTTGGAGGCTGAGGCAGGAGAATCCATTGAGCCTAGAAGTTCAAGACCAGCCTGGGCAACAGAGGGAGACCCTGTCTCTATTTAAAAAAACAAAAACAAAAACAGTATGACCCTGTTCCCCAACCCCACCAAAGCCAATTGATTCAAAGTGAGCACCTGACCCATCGTGGGTCAAAGTCTCTTTCCTAGGACACTGGAATTAGGATTCAGAGATGTTAGTTTTTCCCTGTCTGCTACGACTTAAACTGAGGCAATATACACCCAGGAGCTAAGCAATGACCATAGACTGCCATGGCATGGAACAGCAAAGAGGAGAATGAAGTAAGCTAGATAGTGAATGAGAGAGACAAGAGACTTTGGAGTCACAGAAAGCCAGAAAAGGTAGTAAAAGTAGGCTGGGTGCGGTGGCTCACACCTGCAATCCCAGCACTTTGGGAGGCCAAGGTGGGCAGATCACCTGAGGTAGAGAGTTCAAGACCAGCCTGACCAACACAGAAAAATCCCGTATCTACTTAAAAAATACAAAATTAGCTGGGTAGTGGCGCATGCCTGGAATCCCAACTACTCCGGAGGCTGAGGCATGAGAAGTGCTTGAACCCAGGAGGAGGAAGTTGCAGTGAGCTGTGATTGCACCACTGCAATCCAGCCTGGGCAACAAGAGTGAAACTCTGTCAAAAAAAAAAAAAAAAAAGAAACCCAGAAAAAGTAGTTGCCTGATTCCTCACAATGTTGCAGTCCGTCATAAGACCTACTGAGAGAGAATTCTGTATCCCTAGTAATCAATTCCTTTAAGCTTGTTGAGTAAATTATTTGTAATCAAAAGCACCTTGACTAGTAACTAAAATATAGTGTTATGAAATTAAAGAAGATATTCATAAAAAAAATTGCTAGTCTGTAAAAGAGAATTTTGAGTGATGGGCTAAACTGAAATTCGTATGTTGAAGCTGTAACAGCCACTATAAAGCTATTTGAAAAATAAAGCTTTTAGGAGGTAATTACAATTAAATGCGGTCATAAGGGTGATAACGCAGGCGGCTTTAAAAGAAGAGAAAGTGATCTCCTCTCTCCCTGCTTTCCCCCATTTCCCAGAGCTTGCATGTGTCTCCCTCTCACTTTCTTTCTCTTCAAGGAAAGGCCACATAAGCACGCAGGGAGAAAGCAGCTGTCTGTGAACCACAAGAGCTCGCGCCACGACCTGCACATGCTGGCAACCTGATCTTGGACTTCCAGCCTTTGGAACTGTGAGAAAATAAATTTCTGTTGTTTAAGCCACCCAAGTTTATAGTATTTTATGGCAGCCTGAGCACACCAAAACATAGGGAAAAATAAAACTTTCCAAAAATGTGACTATTTCAAAATTTAAATAATGATTTTCTAATTAAAAAGTAACACATTCACTGAGAAGTTTATAAAATTCAGAGAATAAGACAAAGATAACTAATTATTCAGAGATATCTATTGTTAACTTTATAGCCTTATTTTAAGCATGTATACAACTTTTAAAACAAACTTGGGGCCAGGTGACGTGGCTCACACCTATAATCTCAGCACTTTGGGAGGCTGAAGCGGGTGGATCATGAGGTCAGAAGATCCAGACCATCCTGGCCAACATGGTGAAATCCTCTCTCTACCAAAATACAAAAAACTAGCTGGGTGTGGCGGTGTGTGCCTGTAGTCCTAGCTACTCAAGAGGCTGAGGCAGGTGAATCGCTTGAACCTGGGAGGCGGAGGTTGCAGTGAGCCCAGATCGTGCCACTGCACTTCAGCCTGGTGACAGAGCAAGTCTCTGTCTCAAAACAAAACAAACAAAAAACTTAGGTTCATACAATATAGCTTCTAATCTTATTTTTTTTCACATAACATTATATAGTCTCTACTTTTGAGTATCATTAAACAGTCTTTAAAGATGTAAAATTTGGCTGGGTGTGGTGGCTCATGGCCTCTAATCCCAGCACTTTGGGGGGCTGAGGAGGATGGATCAGTTGAGGTTGGGAGTTTGAGACCAGCCTGACCAACACGGAGAAACCCTGTCTCTACTAAAAAAAAAAAACAAAATTAGCTAGGCATGGTGGCGCATGCCGGTAATCCCAGCTACTCAGGAGGCTGAGGCAAGAGAATTGCTTGAATCCGGGAGGCGGAGGTTGTGGTGAGCTGCGATCGCACTATTGCACTCCAGTATGGAGCAACAAGAGCGAAATTTTATCTCAAAAAAAAAAAAAAAAAAGTGTAAAATTCACTTTGTAAGACAGCCCATAATTCTTTTAGATACAAATCCACAATAACTGTAACACATAATTGGCTGACTACCTCTGCATGATCACCTTGGAATCAACTATAACTCATCTGCAGGCCTCTAACCAGAGCATAAATGTGTATGATCTCCCCAGATACTGTGTACCAAAGCCTGGCTAAAAACTCATCATTTCCCTCATCATTTTTTCCTCACTCTTAACAAGGATGTCTCTTAAAGCTACTTTTTAAACACTACCAATACCACTGTACATACCCTAAAAGATCACCTGATCATTTCTGCAAGTGACAAAACTATGGGACACTAACAGGTCAGGTTAGGAAAGGACATAAAAAGTGGGGATGAGGTTGGGGAAAGTGCAATGAGAGAGCAAAAGAAAGACAGGTATCACCAGGACTCTAAGACTTGTTATCCTTGTGCCTGCAAAACTGTAATGTATCTCCAAAGCTTCTGGCAGGGAGTGGCTAACTCTTGCAGCAGGAATTATCAAGTTTGAAGTAATAAAAACTGAACAGCTATGAAAAAGTACTTTCTTCTTCTTCTTCTTTTTAAATACACAGGGTCTTGCTTTGCTGCTCAGACTGCAGTGCAGTGGCGTGATAATAGCTCACTGTAACCTCAAACTCTTGAGCAATTCTCCCACCTTGGCTTCCCAAAGTGCTGGGATTACAGGTATGAGCCACTGCCCCAAGCCACTTTTAAATAATGTAACATTGACTAAATTTTGGTTGCTTTGGTCATTATCTCTGTAGGGAGTCAACTAAATAAACCCATAATTGGAGTTTACAATTCCTCAGATGACTTGCTGAACTTAGGGTATTAAATGTTTAGATAGAAAATATGAAATAAAGATTAGAGATGATACTAATTATCTGTTAATTACCAATGTAA